CTGGCTTCCATAAAAATAATGTAAAGTCGTCTGAACCAGAAACGAGTTTTTCTTCACCTATTGAAGTATATTGATTCTTTGCATATTCTAAGGGATCCTCTATTTTGTCTTTTGTCTTACTCATTTGAAAAGGGCCAGTTCTTAATACATAATCTACATTCAATGCTAATGTATTTACCCAATGACCATGACCCTCGAGTGTTCTGCACAGTATTCCCTAAATGATATTTTACTTAAATATATCAATGTATATTAATTTTTATAATATATAAATCTATTCCTTGAAAAGTTCTTACATCTTCAGCTCTCCATACTTTAATAGTTCTATCTTGAGAAGCAGAATATATGAGACCACTACCTCCCCATTTGACACAGGTAACACATTTTGTATGACCGGACAGAACACGTACTGTTTGATTAAATGTTATATCCCATATTCTTAAATCGCAATCTTTAGATGCACTTACTAAATATCTACAATCTGGATTTTTATGATAAGGCTCCCAACTTATAGAAGTCACCCACATTTTATGTCCAATCATTGCTTTACCTTTAAATTATAGATTAGATTTAAAAAAGGAAATTATTAATATAAATATTTACATTTTTTTTTTTTTTTCAATTAAATTAAATTGAGACTTGTAAGTATTTACCAACTTGTTTTCCTGTTTTTGGATCCCAATGTAAAATCATACCATTTTTACAAGCTGAAACCAATTTATTACTGCATGGTGACCAAGAAATACATAAAACCCAATGTTTATGTCCTTCACATGTATAATATGGAGTTTGCGTATAAATATCCCAGAATCTTACAGTAGTATCTCCAGAACCACTAGCCAAGTGTTTTCCATCAGGTGAAAAAGCAACAGATATAACAGCTTCCTTATGTCCTGAACAATATAAAAAGCAAAAGTATATATAATTGAATTCATTATATACAATTAAATCTATATTACCTTCTAAGGATCCAGTACAACGTGTTATAGATTTAACTTTAAAAATAGCTTGTGGTTGATAGACAATTTCAAGAACATTTTCACTTATATTAAAATTCTTTTCTATATTTTTTTCCAACGTATCTGTAATTTCTATATTATTAACATAGAATGCCAATGGAACCGGGTCTTCATGCTGAAGTAAAGCATTGCAAATTGCTTGAAGTTTATCAACCGTTACATTAATTGGTAAATCCAATAGACCACCAGGAAGAGTTTCTCCAGTATCAGATTTAAACCTTGATAAAACCCTGCTGGGTTTATTATCTGTTTCGTCATCGTGTTTTCTTTTGTTCATTTTTACTGACATTTCTTTTTCTATAAGATATTATTTACATATGATTTTCATATTATAGGTTAATACTTCTTAGTACACCACACATATATAAAATTTATAAAATTTATAAAATTATATTACGACAGAGTAATTACATTAATTTAATAATATTAATTTAAAATAATAATCACAAAATTAAATTGATATTGATAATTACAAAATATATATACAAATACTTCAATGGATATACAGTACCACGTGCTTTCTAAATTTATTAAGACAGATTTTCATAAACAAAAATAAAAGATTAAGATTTTAAATCAATCTCGCGCCTTTTTTTCAACCAATCACAAATGTTATTTATAAAATTAAATAATTCATTGTGAGTACTCGCCTTATTAACAGAAATGTTTGGTTTTGAACGTAATACCTTAAATTCAAATCGTTGTGATCAATTTTGAAGTTTGTTTTTAATAAAAATAATAAAAAAGTAAACAAAATTGTAAGTGAGTGTGTGTGAGAAAGAAATAGAGAGAGAGAGCGAGAGATAGAGAAAGAAAAAGAGAAAAATATTTTACTTAGTTAACTAAATTAATTTCTATATAATAATGGATATTGTAGAAACGATAAAAAATATTTTATGTAAAAATTCATTGGTAACAGTAAAGAAAAGAAATTTATCATTTATTGACCGACTTTTTCCTGAATATAAGAATTATCTCGTTATTTTTAAAAAAGTAAGTATCACAACAAGATTAATAATATTACAAATATTTAATTATCTATAAATAATTTTTTTAGTCCACGAAACACAGTGAAGCGGATTCATCTTGTTATGGTATGATATAAATTATATGTATTATATATATATAAATATATAAGATTTCATATATAATCTTAATTATATTTCAGATTTAGAAGTTACTGGTGATCCTTTAGAATATTCATTTAATGATGAATGTATAAACAGTACTTTAATAACAGAAAGATATTGGGGACAAGATGAGGAAGAATATATTCCTCTCACAAGGATTGAAGCATGGTAATATATGTATATACAAGATGTTCTAATTGAATTTTTCTTTATAATTAATTATAAAAATGTTATTTTATTTTTACAGCACATTGCTAAATCTTTGTCATGAAAATTTGCATATTGATAATGTCATACCGATATTCATACTTTGTGATGGAAAAGATTATAACAAAACACTTATATTAGGTAGTATCGTTGAGAAAAATTGGCTCAATACGATAGAAGTTACAAGTAATAATATAAAAGAACTTGATTTTGTGAAAAATGTCTCTTCCAAACTATTATCGGAACATCTTGAATTATCATTTTCAGAAAAAAAAGATGTGCGTTTTATGTCATTTTTTGTTCTTTCTCTAAAATATAAATATTGAAATTTTTTGTATGCTGCTTTTGTTTGTATTTTTTTTTTTTTTTTTAGGTATCAGTGTTTACTTTGAGTACTTATAATTTATTTGGATGGAGATATGAAATGCAAGAATTATCAGAAATTGAAAAATTGAATTTTGAAGGAAGTATAACGCTTAACATAATAGCAAATAATATGTTATTTGATCCACCTATAAGATCATCCAAAAATAGTTTAGTAAGTTCATTACAATAAATATATATATTAAAAAAGTAATATTTCAATAAATATTTCCTTGTAGATTCTTGAAATTATCACTGGAAGAAACAATAGTGCTTTGGCAAATTTATGGCATCAATTGTCATTAATTAATCAGTATCTAACGATATTAGATAATTTCAAGGAAATAAATGCAAAATCATATAATAATCTGAATTCGTTAAAATATCCAGATAATTTTGTAAATCCATATGCAAAGGTATTGTTTTATAAATATTTATATAAAGTAACATATACGTGAGATTAATAACATTTATTTTTGTATATGGTTACTAATCATAATGTAGGATCAAGATCAAATAATGGATGATTTGAATCTTCTACTTACCAATAATTATAGCTATAGACAACCTAATTACAATATAATGGAACAAATATGCATTGAAACAGATGAAAATAATATGAAATTAAAACAGTGCATTGAGGCTGCATTTTTTAGATTAAATCTAGAGTTTACTGATTTTATGTGGGAACTACTCATATGTAAATATATAAATCATTTTCAACAATTTTTAATTACTTAATGTTAATATATAATATTTTGTAGGTACTTCTACTTATACACAGATGACAGAATGTATGCATAAAATATTAAAAGAAATTCAAGTTGGTGAATGCCAACCACAGGTATTAAATATTTATATATTATAAATAAATGATAATATATATATATATGTCTTACACATTAAGTATTTATATTTTAGTTAAATATAACAAATAATACAAAACTTGCTAAAATTTTGCCTGAATTATCTCATCAAAAGACGGTCACGCATTTATTAATGGATAGTATACCATTAGAAATTTTAATAGATATAGGATTTGAAAAAGTAAACAAGGATTATAAATATATTTTAATGAATACAGGCATTGTTGCATTTAATAGCATATATAAGAACTTTGAAAAGAAACCGGAACAATTTGATTCGAATTTTTATAGGTAATATAATATTTTTATAATCACGTAATTAATGTATTAATTATTTTTTAAATTACGTATTACGTACGTTCTCATAGGAAGAAATTGATTAATATGATTCAAGTTCATATTTGTTTGGAATTTATGCTGCTTTTACAAGAACATATAAATTGTGAAACAGATGTTTTACAATCATCATTGGAATATATTATAAAAGAAATGACAACTAAAGAATTTTCGATGAATACTTTAGAAGATTTATGTAATAATAAAGTATATACTTTAACCATTCCCGCACAAGATATTCTTATTAATGAAATTAATAAAGGGTACGTATAATTTAGAAATATTGTTTTCATATTTAAATATTATAATTTTGATTCTTATCAGTATTCCCGCAACATGGAAAGTTGATCTTTTTTCTGAATCGGAATTATTGAAAACCAAGACAATAACTTATTTTAGTGATTTTCCCATATTTCCACCTAATTTGTATTCTACAGGTAAAAAAAAAAATAATGTATATTTAGATTTATGAATAATTACAATTTAAAACAAATTTATATATGATGTAGATAGATAATATTCATTTATTTTTTCAGATCAAATAAATAAAATAAATGAAGCATTTCACATGGTAACAGCTTTGATTTCCTCTACTAGAAGTGCTAATATGTAATTTGGATAAATAAAAAGTGTATATAAATATTTAATAGAATATATAATTGTGATGTAATACAGAGGAGAAAGAAATATAAATTACTTTCTTATTTAAAAATCGCGCCAGATGCATGATTGGAAAATAATGCCAAATGCCAACTACTAGGGTCGTTGACGTTCTTCTTTATATTTTATTACATTAATATCTGTACTAAATGATGAATTAATATTAATACATGTTCTTTTTAATCCTTTTAAGGTTTTTTTTAATGATTGATCACTTTCATTTTATTTAGGTCAATCATAAATTATTCGTTCAAAGATTTCAATATGACGATACAAGTTAAAGAATTACCGTGAGAAAATGAATCAGATTTATGATATAATACGTTCAATTTATTATTCATGAGTTACTTTATGTTATCAGGTGAATAAATTCACACTTGAAACATATTTTGATTCATATTTATATTTCTTTATTATTAGAAGATTTAACCCGATTAAAAAGTAAATCTTGGAATATTTTGAAAATACTTTCAATACTTTATACAACACAAGTATTTTGAAATAATAATGGAACGAAAATATGGAAGTGAACAGCAATACTGTACAGAAACATATTTGAATAAAAATATTTCAAAAGATAATTTAGAATTTTGGATGACACAACTTCCGGAACCATTAAAAGATACACCTATAATATATCTCGCCATACCCGGTAAGTTTAAATATCTTTGACGTTTATATAAATTATATAAAATTATTATATATAATATTATATCAAATTATAATATACATATATTATATTTTATATAGTAAGAAAGGAAAAGGTTTGTTGATAGTGCAAATAATTAAAGATCCTTATTTCCAAATAAGGATATTTTCAAGGTAATCCAGTGTTCATTTCAGGTTCTCACAATACGATGACTTATACTATAGATCAACGTAACGATGTAGGTCCAGATGAGCCTGCGTATATCAGAGCATTGGGTCGTTATTGTTCGATTTTGTCAAAGCCTATTATTTTTAAGTGGTCTATTACACAAAAAGATAATATAAAAGAACAATTAAATGGCGGTATAAGATATTTGGATTTACGCGTAGCTACGAAAACGAGGGATAACAATATTTATTTTCTTCATGGTTTGTACGGATCAGAAGTGATTAAACCATTAAAGGAGATTGTAAGTTGGTTGAATGATCATACGAATGAAATTATCATTATTGATTTTCAACATTTTTATCGTTTTACCGAAGTGGATCATGGTCGTTTGATTGCGATAATAAATGATATTTTTCATGGCAAATTATGTCCAACTTTAGCATATTTCAATCACGTGTCATTAAATTGGCTTACTTCGAGAAAGTATCAAGTTATTGTCATTTATAGAAACGTTTGCGCGATGAATCATTCGTATTTATGGCCAAGTGTTTTTTGGCCAACACCTTGGCCAAATACAGTGCGTGTAGATCAATTAGTTAATTTTTTAAATGATAAACTCAAAAATCGTTCTACCAATATTGGTTTTATATCCCAATGTCTCTTAACTCCTAATATATCTTACGTTATAAAACACCTTTGTGGAGATTTACATTCAACATTGACGCCAAAGTGTCAAAAGGCGACTATCCTTTGGATAAATCTACAAAAATCTGGACCTAAGGGGGTAAACATCGTTATAACTGATTTCATATCTGAACAAAATTATTTATTCTCGAAGACAGTTATTCAAACTAATCTTAAACTTTTAAGAAATTCATGTAATTTGTAATTACTCGTAGAAAAATGATTTCAACACAATTGAAGGATTTTTTAAATTTTCTATAATATTAGAAATCCATTGGAAAGACGTGTATTTTCAAGTACATACGTATTATTTATATAATTACAATATATATGATATTTACAATACTTATAAAATTCATTCAATGTTAATATCTGTTTAACGTATAACAAATATATAAATAATGAGCAAGAAACATGAGCATGATATTTCAAGAAAGTTTTATTAAATAATGTAGAGTTAGAGTTTTGTCTTTGTTTTTAAAAATGTATATTAAAACACGATAAATACAACACGGCGGTAGAAAAAAAGTTACTTACGTATTTTTTTTCTTTATATTCAAGTGCTCTTTTCATATGCACCTTTTATTTGATTAATAATATATGCTTTTAATGTTTTTAATCTTCAATGAATAAAATGAACATGTTTTTTATTTTTTTTTTATAAATGATTCAATAAAAACAGTCTTCTAGTTATAATTAAAATTCAGCCTTCTTATAGTTGGCTGTACTAGGGTAAAGCATATTCAAATGGAATAATAATATGCGTATTCAAACTTCAATTAAAAAACTTCAATATAGATTATTTGTTTGTTAAATTTGATATACATATATATATATATATATATATTAAATTTTGTCTAATTTTGATTTCAGCATGAAATCATTACGTTTAATTTAATTAATAGAACTATATTTATTGTATCGAAGTTTTTCACTTCTAATTTCTGATATCTACAAAATAAATAGAAATACAATTAATATTGTACATATATATATATATGAAACAAAATATTAGTATACAAATAATTGTATAAATATTCATTTGTTCGTTTTTGACTTTATGTAATTAATAATTAATGTAAATTTAGTTTATGTATTGTTATTAATATCGCCTGTATTGTTATTAATATCGTACTTCGCATATTAATTACATTGAGAATATTTCTAAGATGTTATATCGAGACAAAACATATCAGCTCAAAATAACTTTTTTTTAGCACAAATAAGATAAAAAGAGATGTGTGTTTGATTGATATATAAATTAAATAAAGTCGCTAGTGTTAAAAAATATAATATATTTATATTTCCTTATATATATATGATGAATTATTGATATTGTTGATAAAATGAAATAATAATAAGTTTGAAAATCGCGTTAAGTATTTATATGCATGTTTCTTTGATAAAACGCATATTTAGTTTTCTAATAAATTTTCAACATTTTAATATGAACGGGGAGGAGGAGGATGCTGTTACGTTTAAAAGTTCTTCAAAACAACGCTAATTAAGCAAATCACTTGAACAATTTACTTACAGCTGGCTAGAACTTTCGTCACATGCAACAACAGTGACATCCGCATTGGGTCACAAAGCTTTAACTTTGAGTTGTTTCATTCTTGGGGCACGTTTCTTTGCCAATCTACGTTGTTCTTTTTCTTCCCATTTTCTTTGCTTATCAGGATCTTCTTTTTGAAGCATTTTTTCTTTTTCAGCTCTTCTACGTTCTTCTCGTTTTTGTGCTGCAGCTTCGGCTCGTGCCGCGTGCGTTGTTTTCAAAAATGCTTCCTCTACCCTTAGCCGATTTTTATCCGCTTTATTTTTACCCTATATAACAACACTCGACAAACTGTTAGTAACATTTAAAATATAGTATTTACTATAAATAAGTAAGAAATAAAGAGAACAATTAAATACCTCTTTGGATAATTTGAAACGTCGTAATTTTTCCAATATGTAAAATGTAAGTCGAAGAAGAAGTTGTAGTTTTTCTTGACATTCTGGACTAGCTGTACGTCCTTTTATACTTATGTTTAGTCCGACTAGTAATACTTTTTTTACCTCAGGCATTGTTAATTGAGTAGTTTCTCTAAAAATAATTGTATTATTAGGTGTAATCAAATATTGATTAAATAATAAATACAAAAATTATAATCCATAATATTTATCTATATTTAAAAAATAATTTTACTGACAAATGATATACTACAACTATAACACTTACGTTTGTTGTTTAGGTCCACTATATTGATCACTGATGTGGATATAATCTATGTATTGTGAAAATTTGGCAAAAGCTTGAAGAACATTGGCATCTAAAATAATCGAAGCTGTTTCAGCTATTTCTGGCATAACATAAAAGCCTGCTGGAAGTCCGTATTTTTCTCCAGGTCGTTTTTCAGGACAGTAAACACTAATATCAGCCATGTCTCTTGTCAAATGTATTGCAGTTCGTTTTGTAGCAATTGCTAATACAAAACTATCAACTTCATCTTTGGCAAGATCAACTCTAATATGCGCTTGATCATTTTGCGGTCGTACTAATTGTGCTAATACTGCAATTAAGTCTTGTCTCTTAATTAATTTCAATTCTATTAACATCGAATCACAGCCAACTCGACCTGAACAATATAAACTATATTGCGACTCGCTTTCTTTGACCAAACCATTTTCACATTCATTTTCTGTTAATTTTCCTGTATCACCTACAAGAGTAAAATTTTTCGACAAAAGTTCTTTATGTTCTTGCAACCAACATTCTGCTATACGTCCATTTTTAGCACGTCCTGCGATATAATTTATGCAATATACTAAAAGTCCAGCTACCATCAATATTTCCAAACAGAAACTATCCCATCTCGCACGCAAATGCAATGGTACTTTAGTAATAGTAAGTGTGGATGGTTCATCGCTTTTAGAACCTGCATTACCACCAGTTACATCTAATCCTTCAAATTCTTCCTCATCTTGAAAGTGATCAAATTCACTATCTCCATCAACAATAAGAACGTCATCTTCTTCAAAGTCTTCATTTAAATCTGCTTCTTTATGATGATGTTCCGTTGTATGATCGGAAGGAGGAGCTGCAGCTGCTGGTTTATCTTCTTCAAAATCTTCAAATTCTGCAAATTCATTATCTTCTGTAACTTCTTCGTGGAAATGTGCAGTGACCCATATGTTTGTAGCTACCAAAACAATGTGAATGATCACCAACCACAATTTCATTTTCACTGGAATAATAATACTACATTAAATATCATTTTCAATTTTGCTTAATTTCATGCAAATTGTCCAAAATAAGGTATGATAATATTTTTTAATATACACATTTTACCGTGCTTTTGAAAGTATAATTATTTACCTTAACTTGTATGGCGTAGTCCCTATCTTATATAATAAATCTTAGATTCTTCGACATCAATTTGATTAATCAATTACATATACATATAAGATAAAACCTTTCATTCGGTTTCTCGCATTAGAATTTTATAATAAAATACAGGTATTAATGGTTAGAAAGGTAAGTGACTTGCATGCCACGAACAAACAGAAGTATACATCGGGTGTAGTGATACGCGCCTAGTGTACCGTCGTGATACACTAGCGCCTCTTCTCCCTATACGGGAACCGCGCCAATTAAGTTCTAGTATAATGTAACATTCAAGAGTTATCTCCAAGAGTGTACTTGTTATTAATAATATAATAAATTTTATATTTGAAACAAAATATAAAAATAAAATCCGAAAGTGAATATAAACATCTTGATGCTTATTAAAATTATTATGGAAAGTGTATAGAAATTATTATTGAAAGTGTAATATGTATTCGTAGATTAAAGAAATCAATTTTGGCGCGTAAATAAAAGAGATACTACAGCGCTTGCGTAAGATATCGATTTTGTAACTCGAATGGGTCGGAAGAAGCGCAGACTCCGTATTATTACTTCAGTGCGCAGACTCCATATTATTACTTCAGTGCGCAGACTCCGTATCATTACTACAGTGCGCAGACTCCGTATTACTACTATGAATATACTAATGCATTTTATATACTACATCTATTGCCGCTGTCAGTTGTGTGTTTTTTAAAAGCAGACATGCATTCGTTTTATTTCATTCGAAGGATTATACGTTGTCGTGTATTTTCGTCACAATACAGCTGATATCACGTCGCTTAAATTAAAACCATTAATGATCATTAAAACGTGTTACGCTGTTAAAAGTCGATAATAACAGCAGAGACACGTAACGACACAACACAACACGAGTCGCGTGTTGACAGTGCCGGAGGGAGTCTCGAAGGCTAGCAATGGATCAATACCGATACCTTGCAGAGGAGTTTAATCTACGAACAGAAACCCGAAGAATCGTCGATCTTTTATCCGTCTAATCAATCTTGTAAACTACATCATTCTGTCTTTCCTTTCCGTCTTATATTCGACAAGACTATATAAACTGTTTAAAAAGGTAAATGCAAATGCATGCAAATGCAAATGCTTTTTTCATCAATATTAATTATTAGAATAAGCGTTGTCACTTGTTAAAGTATATATGTAGTATATATAATAAGTAGAGATTTTGATCGTTGTTTCTGTTTGATAGATCCTACGATATAATGGATAAGTCGGATAATAATTTGTCGAAGAGCTTGAAGAAAAAAAGTTGGAGATCGGGGGGAGGATTGGGGGGAGGATCAGGGGCAGCAACGGATGTTGATGCAACTCAGTGCGTCCAGGTTGTAGTAAGATGCAGGCCAATGGACGAAAAGGAAACTGCACGAGGTTATACTCGTGTAGTCGACGTTATACCGTCTCGAGGAGTGGTAGAAATACGTCATCCTCGAGACGATCCATCAACGGACAATGTGAAGGTTTTCACGTTTGACGCTGTTTACGATTGGCATTCGACTCAACAAGAACTTTATGAAGAAACCGTGAGACCTTTGGTTTCCTCGGTATTGGATGGTTTCAATGGTACCATTTTTGCTTATGGTCAAACTGGCACAGGTAAAACTTATACGATGGAAGGCTCGAAAATGGAACACGATAAACGTGGTATCATTCCAAGATCATTCGAGCATATATTTAATCACATAGGAAGATCAGAAAACATGCAATATCTCGTGAGAGCGAGTTATTTAGAAATTTATCAGGAAGAGATACGCGACCTTCTTCATCGCGATCAGAGTCTTAGATTTGAACTTAAAGAAAAACCAGAGTCTGGTGTTTTCGTGAAGGATTTATCAACAGCCGTTTGTAAGAGCGCTGCGGAAATTCAACGTTTAATGAACGAAGGTAATCAAAATAGGACGATCGGTGCTACAAACATGAACGAGCATAGTTCCCGTTCACACGCAATATTTTTGATTACTATTGAGATGGGATCCATTGGTGATAATGGCGGTATTAGAGTAGGTCGTTTGAATCTAGTCGATCTCGCTGGCAGCGAGAGACAAAGTAAAACCGGTGCATCCGGTGAAAGACTGAAGGAAGCGAGTAAAATTAATTTAAGCCTTTCTGCTCTCGGTAACGTTATATCGGCATTGGTCGATGGTAAAACTACTCACGTACCTTACAGAGATTCCAAACTTACAAGATTATTGCAAGATTCTTTGGGAGGTAATTCGAAAACTATTATGGTTGCTAATATTGGACCTGCCAGTTATAATTATGATGAAACGCTTACGACATTGCGTTATGCTAATCGTGCTAAGAATATTAAGAACAAGCCACGAATAAATGAAGATCCTAAAGATGCTCTTTTGAGACAGTATCAAGAAGAAATAGGTCGTTTAAAAGAAAAATTAGCTCAAAAAAGTATGGTACAACGCAAGAAGAGGAAAACAAAGAAAAAGAGAGAAGACGATCTTGCTGTAGATTCAGAATCAGATGCGGAGGATAGCAAGGAAGAGGATAACAATAACAAGACCATTGAAACAGATAAGAAATTAATAGCTGAGCAACTTAAAGCTGAGAAACAAGAGACTGAGAACCTTATAATGAGAATAAAAGATTTAGAAAGCAAAATGCTGTGTGGTGGGAAGAATATTATTGATCATACTAATGAACAGCAAAGAGCATTGGAACAGAAGGCTGCGGAGATTGCCGAGCGTAAAAAACGCGAAGTTGAAATGCAACAAAAATTAGAAGACGAGGAATTGACTATGCTCGGTGTACGAGAAACATACACTACCTTGCAACAGGAAGTAGATGTTAAATCTAGAAAGTTAAGAAGATGTTTTACCAAGTTGCAAGTATTAAAACAAGAATTAGATGACGTTACCAATGACTTTAACAAAGATAGACGTGAATTGGAACAAACGCAGCATGAATTAATGAAGGAGCTTAAATTAAAATATCTAATAATTGAAAACTTTATTCCAGAGGAGGAGAAAAACAAGATATTATCTAGGATACATTATGACGAGGAAGAAGATTGTTGGAATCTGAATAATCCGGAAACATCGAACATAGAAAAGATAGAACGTCCTACTTCAATTCCTGGTGCACGTAGACCAATTTCTGAATATGCTCGAATCGCTTTAGCAATGGGACGTGGATGTCGTTATGCTGGAGAAAATATTTTGAATTTAGATCTGGATATGCCAGCTAGAACAACTTCGGATTATCATGGACCAGCTATTGCACCAACAATCCAAGCTGTTCTTGAAGAGGCTCTGCGAGATGAGGGAGACATCGATGTTGATGCTTCCAATGCTAAATTACGTTCTAAGCCACGATTACAATCAGCAAGGATTAGACCAAGAAGTGTCCCAAAAATGCAACAAATTCCTACTCCAGTTTATCCGAAGACCAGAGGACTCGTACCGAAATAGTTGTAGCTTTTTTTAGTTCGCGTTCTTTCATGTTCCTTCTCTCTCTCTCTCTCTCTTCTTGCTCTCTATTGTGTAAAGAAAAGTGTAAATATGTGATGAAACTGTTGCTGTTGCACGTCACTTGTGCTGCTTCTATTTAATTATTTGCGATAAGCTCGTCTAGACTAATCTTATGCCTTTTTTCTCTTATCGGAAAAGAAGACACGAAAGAACGATCCCCGGAATCTTTGGAACCTAGTCATTGTGCAATTATTAAATAGTAGTTAGTCAGGTATATTGATATTTCAATAAATTACTATTTGCTGTAACGTTAAAAAGCACGAAAAGAATATCGTCGTTTTTGCTCTCGCGTATTTTGTTTTATTTTTTTTTTTTCGCTTAAGCGGCACATCTTATTTGTTATTTTTTAAATTATTATTATTAATATTATTCTAGAGATCATGAAAAAAAAAAAAAAGAAACAGAATTTCGATGTTTACTTATATACAAACAAACAAAAAATGGTAAGAGTAAAAAGTACTGTGGAAATAAACGAATTAACTTTGATGTATTTTTTTCATCTCCTGTACAATCATTATTTTCACGTGATTACGCTCAATTTCATACTTTTACAACGGTTGCTCCGTTATCTGGAACTGTTTGTATTATCTTTCTTTTTTTCTTTTTTTCTTTTTTTTTATAGAATCAGCATTCTTTTAAATTTCTCCGGTGTACAATGTTTATCATCAGCTTTCTCTGTAATGTCTAGAAAATGATAGTAATAAGAATCAAAATAAAGTGAAACTTAAATAGACATCTTATAATATCGAATAGTGTATAATAATATAACACATGAATTTTTTATTTTTATCATACTGCAATTAGTAATATATACAAAATATATATACACACACATTTTGTTTGTAAAATCTACACAGGACAATTATTAATAGTAAAAACTTGAAAAGAGATGATAAAATGAAATTGTTAAAAGCTTATTGAACAACAATTTAATTGTTTTACATTAGTATACTTTTACCATTCCTTCAAATTTGTTGATCAAGAGAATTAAGAATTATCCTATATATATATATATGTATATATATATAAGTGTGTGTGTGTGTTTGTGTATATATATATTTTGTACAGTTCAATATAACACACTGCATTATTACTTACTCTTTTACTACGCAGGACGTATTGATCGGGCACACATACACACATACACACACGCACACACACGAAACAGTTATATAAAACACATTCATTCGTTGACATTCACTTTTGTTGTACAATTTTCACGTTAAGAAAAGAGATAGGTTTTGCGCGATTATTCTCGAGACAATAATGTTGTAAGGAAAAAGAAAGAAAGAAAAGAAAAAAACGTTTTAACAGATGATACCCACGTATATAAAGAAAATAAGCCAATGTAACAATACTTCAAAATCTCTCGAACGTTAGAAGGTGTCATGACGAACGAGAGAAAAAGAAAAATGAAGAAGTGTTCATTGGAAAACGTAGTTAATATTAGTTAATTGGTTTGCTTTTTTGAAGTTGAACAAAAATAAATGTTTGTTAAAAGAATGAAATTCTTAAATGTCATGAAAAAATTCCTTTGCCGTATAAGTACGTAATACGTAATACGTAATATTTTGATGACGAAACAACAAATTGTTAATATAATTTCACTTTGAATCGATTGAATAGTAAAAGACATTGGTTTCGATCGATTATTTCGAATGAGATTTGTATAAAATTTGTTATTAATCGTTGGCCTTCTCTTATCGACAAACGCGTTGTTAGTTAGAGTACTATCTATAGAATGAAATGTGTTTATTTAATAGAAACGTTGCTGTTGCGAATACGCTCCATATGGAGTTTGTTGCGGTGGTTGTTGAGGTGATTGTTGTTGTTGAGGATATCCGGATGGATGACCACTCGGAGGGCCACCATATCCAGTGGAAGCACCATATGCTTGCTGTGGAGAATACTGGTTTTGTGATATAGTCGACGGTGGACCATATTGATTTTGATCATTCATGTTGCCACCATATCCTTGATAATTATAACCATTGTCCATGTAATTCTGATTAGTACCAAAAACTTGTGGTTGAGGTGGATAATTAGAGAATTGTTGATTAGGAACGTTCGGATAAGTTAACGGTGGAGCTTGTGGTCGTGGTGGTTGATTAGTTGGTGCATCATAATTTTGATTATAAAAGTTTTGTTGCATCGGAGTAGCTATCGATGATGAACTATGATCTATCATCTTTGAAGCTGAGGATCGTTGTTCCGAATTTTCATTAGCAAAATTTATATGTGATTTTGGTACGTATTTGTTTGGGAGGTCGCCCATAATATTAGCTATTAAACGTTTAGTTTCATTTAGGATCGCATTGGGATCGTTAGATTTGGCGACGTCCGAGGTCCTTGTTGCTGGTGATCGTGAACGCGAAGGTGAACGTGATCGGGACCAGGAACGAGGTGATTTTGAAATAGATTTAGAAAAAGCACGTGTCTTTTTCTTTCCTTTCTCACTTTCGTTTACATTTTTATCAGCTGCTTTGTAAATGTCCTCGAAACTATAATCGTCGTCGTCGTCTGATAATTCTAATTTCACTTTTGACTTATCTTCTTCCTTCTTTTGTTGTTGTTGTTGTTGTTCTTCCTCGTCATCGTTAGCAAACATATCTAATTTAGGTATCCACTTGTTTTCTTCTTCAGACGGATTTTGATTTCCCTTACGCATTGAAAATGGCGAAGCTTTTCTGTTAGTCTTACTCGTCGTCGTCGTCGACAATTCGATTAGTTCAGGTGTAGGTGATTTTTTTGTTTGTGGTAAACTAGAAGGTATTGCTATGCTTAAATTAACGAATGCTCTTAATTTTTCTACCCTGGGTAAGTCAGTAGCTTCTAATTTTTTCAGAAAATTTATAAGACCGTGTTGTTCGTGAGTATTCAGATCTTTAAAATTTTGTAATAATGTCTTTAAATCAGTATCCGATAAATTCTCCATTCTTGAAACTTGATCTACGGTATCTGTTAATGTCGGGGTTTTCAAAGTAGACACGGATGTCGATATACTATTTTGAAAAGTGCCAGTGCTAGTTCCAGTTGCGAGACCACTTGTGATACCACTTGTGACACCACTTGTAATACTACTAGTTACAACACCGGTACCACCACTAGGCAAACTTTTCACAAAATCAGCCGTAGTAACAGGCTTGTCCGAGTGTTTTGATGCTTCAGCCATACCAACTACCGCATTAATTAATGTTTCTAATTCTTCCTGAGACACATTCGATCTACCTTGTGCAACAAGAGCAGCAGCTATTTGATGAGCTATTGCAACTTTATCTACAGTACCAACGCCAGGAACAGTGACTGGCTCGGAATGAATTGGTGGTGTAATCATCTCTATAGGTCTAGGATACACAGTTCTTCCACTTAGAAAATTGCTAGTTCTACTTGCTTCCAAAAGTTCGTGTTTTTTCTTTTTTTCCTCTTCCATCTTTTTCTTACTTTCAGTTGCCTTGTGTAATAATTGGGCTATATTTTGTATCGCTGTCTTCGTCGGAGCGATAGCCATTTTTTCGATCATGCCAGCAAAAAGCTGTCCCTTTAACTTCTCTTTAACTGTTTCGAACAATACATTAACTTCTTCGTCGTAAAGCAATTCTTCAGCAGAATTGGGCTTAGCTTTTTCAGCGGCTAATGCTCGCGATAAAAGTGACACTATTTTAGGACCTAACGAGCCTAATTGACCCTCCAGAGCTGTCAGAAGTCTTAATAATCCTACCACTTCTAAATCTTCGCTCAGTACTTCCTCCTTTGGCGGTGGACTCGGTGATTTATCTTTTACAGGATAGGGTGTCGCATAATGGATAGGTCTGGTACGTGGTGCAATTCGAGAATAATAATTACGATACATACTACTTTTTCCTCGCGAATAAGAAGAATAAAGGTATTCCCTTTCTCGTGTATCGTGACGATCGTAATAATCTGTTTTAACTGTTTTTGTACCTACGTATTCTACCTCATCGTCACTATCAATACGATGTCTGCTACGTTTTGAGGGAAGTGGTGATCTATCGCGTCTACTTGACGGTGGAATCCACTTCTCGGGAGGTTTTTCTTCTGACAATTCCAATCGTTTTCTTATTTCTTCCTTTCTTTGTTGTAACTGTTCATTGTGAATCTCGCGCATTCGTTTGTTCCAGAATTCAATCCATTCTGGTTTGAAGTCATGTTTACTTGGGTCCTTGCCATCGGCTTGTAATTCTTTGTATCGTCTGTTCCAGAATTTTTTCCATTCATCTGGATACGAAGGATGTTTCTCAGGATTCTTTTCGTGAAATTTTAATGCACGATCAAGAGTCTCCTCAGCTCGTCTGATCTGTTCTCGATACTTATCCCACTTATCCCGTTCCCGAAGTGGTTCCAATGAACGTGATCGTGATCGAGAACGTGAGCGTGATCGAGAACGTGAACGATCATCACGAGAGTATCGTGATCTTGTACGATACTTGCTACTACTCTTATCCGATACACTACTCCTTCTACCACGAACAGGAGAACGTGACCTTGAACGCGATGGCGATGGACTGCTTGATATACTTGATAAAGATGATAGGGACTTTGTTTCATCGGATGGACGTTTAGGTGATTTTTTTAAACTGTCCGTACTTTTTTCACTGGGTTTACGTAAATTTAATTTATCCTTGGTAAGAATACGTATCTTGAAAACCCTAAAAAAATCATTGTAAAATATGTTTATATGATAAATATCATAGGGTGTCCATACCATATATATATATATATTCGATCTATCTTTTACAAAGTTAGATTATTAGATAGACAACTCACGACTTTGTAACATCTTGTTTAGAATCTGTTTTCTTCGGTGATAATCTTTCTAGCTTCTTATCTTCCTTTTTAAATTTGCCATCTGTTTTCTCTTCGGATGATTGAGAATCTTAATGCGAGAAATTAAATGTTCATATCATAGCACTAATATCAACACAATTAATCTAATTATTATAAAATAAATGTATATCGTATACTCACCTTTCTTATTACCATTATTACCAGCAATTTCAGCCATCTTTTCTTCAAAGTTTGTCACCCATCTCACATCGTAAACTTCCATAAATGTTAACTCAGGTGTTTCCCTGTATGTAGGAAACAACCATTTTGATTGCAAGGTAATATCAGATAACTTATTTTAATAAATTGTTACAATTTTGGTGAAGTTTTTCTATTCATTTTGTACATATAACATAATAATACACAGAGAGAAAAATATAATTAGAGATATTTATCCCATTTTTAATTGACATTTAAATAAAACATGTTTTATTTAAATATTTTCTAAATTTGGGATATATTGCTAAGAAGAAATAGAATTGAAACATATATATGTATATATATATATATACACTTAAGGTACATAAACATTAACTTACCTAAAATGATAGTCTTGAAATACCCTTTTTATATATTGCATTTTATTTTTTTCAAATTGATTTTTGTCTACCAATTGAGGTTGTAGTCTTCCGAATCGTTCTTCTATTTTTTTTGCTGCTAACACTGATATTTCATTAGCTCCACGTTTGTAATTAGAAGTACGCGGTAATTCAGTAATAGCTCGCGATATTGTTGGAAAATGTCTATTCAAATATGTTATTCGATGATTATAACTGGTAATATGAGCCATAACGGTACGTGGATCACCACGTTTATCACACAATACACATGTATAACTGGGTTCGCAGGAATCATTGTCCACAAGTTCAAGTAAATATTCAAGACCAACGAGTGGTGAACTTCTATGACGATCTAAACTCACTTGAATTGTCGTCGTTCTTGTTAATTGATCTTCCATACCTGGTGGTACTGGTTCACCAGGAGCTAAAGTATCCGTAATAGCAGTTGACTGTACAGGAACAGTTGTTTTCGCAATGTCAGAACGTTTTGACCATAGTAACACCGGATATGGCCATTCGTCCAACTTAATTTTATGACGATTACACGAATTATGACTTATCAATTTATGTGCTCCAAACAGAGCAATATTACAAATGTGACACCATATGTCACCGTCATCCGTTTTGGAATACACAGGTCTCAGCGTACCATCTTCAGCAGTTACACTGCTTCGCATCAAACGTTTCCGATCATGTTCTTCCTGTAGATAATAAATATTGCTAATATAAATATATCCAATTAATTCATTAATTTGATTCCATTCAAGTAAACAACTTACATTTATTACTCTCTAGATTATTTGAATACATAATCAGTCATAGATTTTTATTACCTTTTCCTTGTCTTCTTCTGAAAGATGAGAGGGATTGCGCCCTTCTATGTCGAGATCGTCAAAATTTTGCATAGTTGATCCACGAATAGAAAGATCACCCATTACACACTTTCTGAAAGTATCAAAGTGCAATACGCATAAATAAAGAAGAGATAAAGCAGCAAGATAAAAACTTATTTAGAGAAACTTAGAAAATATTCTAATTATATTGAAGACTTATACTCTGAATATTATCTATACTGGAGTATTGATATAAAACTCCAGTTACTTACCGATATAAAGCAATAAACTATTTTTTTTTTTTTGTATAACAACGTATTCTTTCTTCAGGAACCACAAATACCACAAAACAATTAACTAAATAATTAACATAAGAACCGTCACTAGCAATGCAAAGTTAAGATTCACTAACTTTGCAAATTGTTTAGAAGTAAAATATATATCGTTGTCTTGTGGACAACGTTTAAGAAAAAAGACAAATATGTCATCTTTATATAAGTTCTGTATCTATATTTAAAAAGATAAAGAGATCATAAAGATGCCACTGAGGATATACGATATGGGCAATACTGTTGAACATCGACATAGGAAATATGTACATCGATATTATGGATTATATCAAATATGCAATTAAAAAGATAATTTTCATTGATAATGTCTATACAAATAGAATATATTATAATATTAAAGAACGCAATTTGTATGTATTTTATGTGTGTTAAGTGATAAGAAGACAGGTGATACACTGGAAATCATATAAGGAACAATAAGTCCTAGTAAATGTGAGGTTATATTTTCACTGGAACAAGATTATTTACGATTATCAAAACTACCGTTATAATTACACCAGCTTTTAAATTATTACTATTCATGCATCGTATTGGCCAGTAGTATAAAAAAAGGTTCATCAGCTACAGTCGTGTAGCTATGTATTTCTCAGCAGTCCAGCCCAAAGATTCTGCATAACGTCCCTGTCGATATTACCAATTTCGATTGTTTTCTATGTTTTTTCATTTTTTTTTTTTTCTATATATACCTGAAATATATTATCCAAAGAAAATAATGTTCACTTACCAAAACAATAGTTTCAAGCAGATTATATATTCTTCCTTTATAATTATTAGATTCTTCAATATCTTATTTGATATCAAAAAAATCCCACGTTAACACGAATATGCGCATGTCCTTACGTATGTGTATGTAGAATTGTATAATTGTAAGTATCACACACAGTGTATGAACATACATTAAATATATGCATTATGTATAATGATGCTTTTTGCAAGAAGTGTACAATAACGTTCGAAAAACGGTTAGTATATTTTCATATAACGATAGAACTGCCCTCTGTCCGCCAACTTTTCAAATCAAATTGACTTTCTTTGTTTTATGTCGTAAGACCATCTTTCGTTTCTTATTTAAACTAATGTAAAAAGCGCGAATATAAAGTGTTCAAAATATATGTGTTCATTTTTATTATAAACAATTAGAAAGTGATACATCATAATATATATCATAATATAAGTAACTTGAAAAAATTCAAACACAATAATTGATAGACATCATTTTTTCTCCGATTAACCATGAACCTTTTTTTTCTTTTTTTTTCACATTTTAATAATTACAATAATTTGTATGAATCATTGAAAAATGTCAATATACTTTAATATAAAATGAATTATAAAATAACACAAAGTAATATTTAAAAAAAAAAAAAAAACAGACTTCTTATACGAGATATGAATCGACGAAGGCCATTGGTCAAATTAGACGCGCCATTATATGAATTTGTACTGTTTGAATTTTGATTATTCTTATATTTAAAATTTCATAATTCATCCAAAAATTCATTTAAATAATACTGTTATTAGTATTATCGTTTAATACTAATTTATTAAAATATAAATTATTGAAAATTCCGACATTTCTACTTATTAATAGGCTGATTAGCATATATATATA